TGGAGTCTGCAACCTGCAGGCCTTGTACAATTCAAAGCTGCCACAATCAAAAATATACTGTGTCAGATCCACTTTGCAGTGACATGTAGGGCCCAGAGCTGTCACTGTGAGTTCTTTCCTCAGGAAAGGTGACATAATTTGCAGAGTGAAAAGTAAAAATGCAAGTTTCTTGTTCAAAAATGAATCGGAGCCCGGCCGGTATGCTCAGTGGTTAAACAGCCACCTATGAATCAGCAGGTCAGGGCACATACATGCCCAGGTTGTGGGCTGGATTCCCAGTAGGGGCATGCAATGACAATTCTCTCTCATCATTAATGTCTCTATCTCTCTCTCCCTCTCCCTTCCTCTCTCTGAAATCAATAAAAAAAAAACATATTAAAAATAAAATGTTCACATGCTAAAAGTGGCTTCCTTGAGTTACCAATATTACTAATTATATATTATGATTTTTAAAATCCAAACCCTCTCACTAAGGACACAATAACATGGGTGGTTTTAAAATGTAATTTAAATGTGTGTTTGTTTATTTGTTTTAAACCTTTTTTTAACTTTCTTCAATTAAAGGTACACACTGGAAAACTGGTCATTGGAAAGAATTCTTTAAATATTAAGAATTTTGTTATAAGAACAACTGCTGTTGTGAAACAGTATATCTTGAGCAAGTCATGATTATTTTTATTCAAAAAAGTTGAAGTGCCCTATACTTTAAATATTCACCAATTTATTTACTTTTCTCACAAAATTGAAAATTTCTGCTGACACTATGTCTCATTAGAGTAAGAAAAAAGTGGTATTTACATATATATTTTTCTCTCTTCCCTCAAAAGACTTTCGTTCTTTGTATGTTTATTTGATTAGGACTTCCAAATACCCAGGTAATTTTCAAGTCTTTCACTCACATGCCTCTTACTAATGTTTAGCCCCCCATGCCTTTCCCCACCACCTTCTGACCAAAGAAGTCTCCTCTAAAACCTAGAATATTTGGAAAGCACATCTTGGCTGAAAAATGAAAAAAAAATTAAAAATGATAATTTGTCTTAATGTGATTTTCATTTGAGAGAGAGATGATTTTCATCACCTAACATTGTCTTGATATAAGAAGGGAACAGCTCTTCATTTTATTATTTATTGGTGGGGAAATTGAAGCCCAGAACATATCAAAAACAAAATAAAAACAACAGTATCTTCCCCAAAGATACACTGCATTGATGGCAAAGCTAGATTCAGAACCATAGATTGTTTTCCAAAAGACTGAACTTTCCCTTATCCCTTTCCATCAAGACCACAAGAGAAATACTCTTACACATAACAAAGTATTAAAACACAACATTCACATCATTAAAAATATTCGTATTTTAAAGTTGTCCATGTATTATGTACATTCTAGAGAAAAGTTCTCATTAGCTACATAAAATTTTGGAAAAGAGATAGATAAAATAGCTCATAAGATAAAAATTATACAAGATAGTACAATTCATTAAGAATGACAATTTCACCAGTACCGGCCAGTGCACACTTCAAAAACAGTCATTGCTCTAAAGACTAATTTAAAAAAAATGTTTCTGAAAGAATTTATTTAAAATAGAACAACATATGGGCCAGATCTCATAAGTGAACAAAATCTTCTTAAATTTGAGAAGCTGTGATTGGCATTTAGGCTCCAATAAGATTAAATTTCAAAATGGCACTTTAGTTAGTGGTCATAATTCATATTCCTATTAAAGTACTGGGTACTCCAGGAGCAATTTAAAACCCTAAATTTTCTAATTCTCTGATCTACATAAATTTTTTGATGAAATTCTTAGGACATTTATATCTCTATATTTAATGTGAGATGAAACCAGTGTCCATAATAAAAGGTTTCCATTTTAACAATGAAGTATGCATCTCTACTCAACATCTATGCCAAAACCATCCTAAGTTCTACTTATGTCAACATGGGACACTCTCACCTTTGTCATCTGCCTTTCGTGTGCCTATTTGTCTTTTTTTATAAGCTCCTCTATCTACCAGATCACATTTAGTGCAATAATATCCTAAAACAGACTGATAAAACTTGCCATTATGATGCACAGTTCACATTTCCTTCTTTGTTTGACTTTCACTATTGTGTTACACTCACCTGTCCAGGGTACAGCATTTGATCTATTATCATTTTTCTATTATCATAGAAAAATAATGAAGATGTGCGAGTTGCTTTGGAAAATGTTTAGATTTTAAATACATTTCTATTTATTACTATTAGTGCATTGTTCAGAAATATCATAGTAAAAATTTTATTCTGGATGCACCAAGAGCATCTATACAGTGTAAGAATAAAACATGCAGTCATCTGGTCCCCCCAAAGGGAATCTACAGTCTATGCTGGTTGAGGCAACACAGAACATGATTGTATCATTATTGCACATATTCAAGCAGGTGCTCACCCTTCATTCAAATCTGAGTAAGTTCAACTGGTAAGAACCAAGGAATGCGGGAACCTAAAAGATTACTCTATGTACAGTGTTTGCTGAACACATGCATTCCCGCTGAAACAGCAGAGTGCATTCAGCAACTCATCACGTCATGCAAACTGGAACAGAGGTGGCTATAAAAGAATACAGTCATAACTGTACTAGAAATAAGCAATTGATACATTTCTCTCCTTTGTAACACTTACAGTAGTTCAAAAACCATACGTTTCTTTCCCATATATGTGAACAATAATATTATAGGTCAATTTGATGAAACTCTGAGTCAATGCCAGAACACAGCAAGTACTAGTATATGCACCACTAATATGCAAAGGCATGGATTGCAGCTTTACACTGGCCGTCTATTTCACAGTCATTCTCTTACAGCTTTACAGCAACTGTTTTTTGTTGAAGCACATGGCTAAAGTTAAGCTGACCACTTTCTGTACTCAGATTATTTTTACCACTCATCCACCTTTAAAAAGCTTAGCCAAGCTTGTCTCACACTTAGTTAAATAGAAAAGTACCCTGAAATTCAATAAATGTCAGAGGTCAAGAAAAAGGTACCCTCCTCACCCTGAAAGCAACAAAATCCCAATTTCAAGACTGATACCTCACACCAGGGGTGGGGAACCTTTTTTTTCCTGCCAAAGGCCACTTAAATATTTATAACATCATTCATGGGCCATACACATTTATCAACTTAAAAATTAGCCTGCTATGTTTGGTCAAACATTTAATTAACTCACCCCTAATACCTTGGCAGGGCCAGACCAGATGATTTTGTGGGCCTTATACAGCCCATGAGCCAGATGTTTCCCCACCCCTGTTTTATACCATGATTACCTCATTTTTATGTGCCTATGGTAGGTAGATATTGTAGCATAGCATGGAGACATCGTCCCCTGAAAACTTCCATTATGGGTCATGGAAGCTATGGGCACAAAGGGAAGAAAATGGAACCCATGGCACAGAACATCTGTTCTGAGACTCCTGAATGAAAGAGGCACATCTTGTGGGCATGTGAAGAAGTTCTATTACAAATTCTAAAATATCAACTTTTTAATAAATGACTTTGTTTTGCACTTCTCCAGTCTAACTGTGATAAGTTTTGTTTCTGGTGGTTTTGTTTATGGATGCAGTGAGATAGGTAGAAAAGCTCATAAAAATGGGTACAATTGATCAAAATATCTCCTTTGATTTTGCTATCATCTTGGGGACAGATGGTCTGATAATGTACAAATTCAATTGGTATATATTTTCAACTTGATGAAAACTTT